TAAATAAGGCGGTAAATTCAATAAAACATGCGTCTCCGCTACTACTTAGATTCTAACGGAGAAAGAGTCTATACAATGAAGGTGAGTTTTAGAGTTTCAAATATTCATCACCAATAGTAGTAGTACTTCATGACTAATGACATTGTTTCTGACCATGATTGCTATTAACTTGATCACGTTCCCCATGGCAGCTCTCCCGGGCCTGTCAAAGTTTATGGAAAAGCCCCGAAAACATTTTGATTTCATTTCTGGCTATAAAATTTGTTTTCCGACGACTGTAAAGACGCTGGAAGCTTATACGTAATGTATTTTCGACGTTATGCATAAAGAAGTTAGTATGATAGTAATGTGCTAGACTTCCCACCTTTTTTTTCGGGCGCACTGCAGAATCGGTGCGTCTAAACTAACACACGCACCTAGTTATCTGTATAACTCCATATAGTGTTTATAACCCGATGGAGCAGTCACTTTTAACATGAGACGTAGGGAAATGATGAACAAATCACACTATGACCAAAACATATATGCATTGAACTAGTATTGTCAATGGCTTCCTGGGATTCGATATCAGGTGATCTGACTCAACGGTTGTCTAAGGCACATGTAAATCGAACCCGCAATCCGCTGAAAACAACGGAAATGACAATCTACTAGCATATCCTAAACTTTTTCGCGTCAGGCTCCACGTTTTCAGCATGGCGTGGTTATGTAACATAGCTAAGTGCAGCCAGTTGTTCCGCCAGTGGTATTCTTCTAGTGAGAATCCTAATCTATTCACCACTCATAATTTCGGATCCTCACTGCTCACCGGGAGGCACAAACACGAGAGAGCCAAGAAGGCTTTAGACCAGGAAGAGGATGTATTGATCATATCTTCACCCTTTGACAGATCTTAGAACGCTGGCATTCCTACCGGCGTCCAACAATCATTACATTTTTCTTGACCTTAAGGTGGAATTCGACTCTGTCGACCTAGAGGTACTCTGGCGATTCTTGGCTGTAAAAGGAATGTCGAGAAAATACATTGCACTGATTAAGGCACTCTATTCGTACTCATACAGCCAGGTGAGGGCTTACGGCGAGTTGTCATCTGAAGTGGTGACAACTAGTGGTGTGCGTCAGGGATGCCCATTATCCCCATTCCTATTCAACTTCATCATAGATGAACTAATGGACTTAACCCTAAGTGACTTCAGCGACTCAGGGATTGACTTGCTACCAGAGAATAATCTCGTTGACTTAGAATATGCAGACGATATAGTCCTTCTAGGCGAGGACGTTGACAAAATTCAGAGTCTTCTGAACACCTTAAGCTGCAATCTACGAATGTTTGGCATGCGATTCTCTCCCGCCAAATGCAAGGTGATGGTACAGGACTGGACTACACTGACCGCTTCGCTTATTTGGGAAGTACCATCAGCCAGCCCTAGCGGGTTGATCTCTGACAAAATCTCAGAACGGATACAAAGGGCTAGTTTCGCATATGCCAGTTTACGCCGTCTCTGGCGTAGACGTGATATCCAGCTGACTATCGACCAAAGGGCGGGTGTACTGCTCATCAGTCCGCTCCGTCCTCCTTTATGGCCAGCTGTGAGACCTGGCCACTGAGAGTGGAAGACATGAAAAGATTAGCTGTCTTTGATCATAGGTGCCTGTGTCCTATCTCCCCTGTGGGATGTGGCATAATAAGTTGAGAAATATTGAGGTTAGGCGTCGGTCGAGTGCTAGATAAGGAGAGGAAATCAATCGACGAAGTTGTGAAGTTAGAAAGACTGAGATGGTTAGGACATGTGTTACGTATGCCTAGTCATCGCCTTCCTCGACGGTCAATGTTAGCTGGCTGACATAGGGTCAGGCTGGAAAAAAGTTAGCGGTGGTCAAACCAAAACATGGAACCAGTCAGTGAAATCTACAACAGTTAGTCTAAGCTAGCCACGTAGGAAGGTGTCGACTGGCTTCCTGATTGGGGTCCTCGGGACGGTAAAAACCAATGGTTGGAAACAATCGGTGACATGGCTGAAAATCGTTCTCAGTGGCTGGCACAGATGCCTCTACTCCTTGTGACTTATGATTTCCAATGAAACTGTTTTGTTCTTCGTTACTACTATTCCTTTGTCTAACACCTCTGTTTACTGTCTCTATTATGCATTTTTTCTACTTTCTCCTCTTGCTTTGTGTGCTACATGGTGTGGTGACTTGAACTGCCGCACATATGTGCAAAGTTCTATTTCGAAAACAGACATACAGCTAGTTATCATGCATACTCATTTGTCTGCGTGCTGAGATTCCGTCATTAGGACTGACGTAGCTTTTCAAATAAGTGAAGTGATCAATACACTGACCCGCATTTTACTCTCTAGACTGAACTCTGTAAAGACCAGTTGAGTCACCTTACATTCAGCAGAGGTAAATTGCACGCCGAACACTAAGGTTTTGCTCAGTGTTGGATAGATTATTATGTCAGATTATTATGTCTTTACGTAGAAGGAAAATATCTTCCACACACTTTAAATTGACGAGACTGTTCTCTGGTAACGAGTCAGTTGCCAAATCAATGATGTCAGTCTGGGTTACATCCATTAACAATTCATTGCGGTGATCTACTGCTGGTTACAGTACTGTATATTTTTGATTGGACACTAGTTAGTAACTAGTGTAATGCGTCTTGTCCTATCGTTGGTGCAGACTGAATTCTATCAGTCAAGTTTGCAATGTGGCCACCAGGCTAGGTTGCCCGCCATTACGGTACACTGTAAATTGTTAGTATTCCATGGTTGGAAGCAACCGACAGAAAGCCTTGGACCTAGGTTTCGAGCTGGTTGGCACTCACCAGTTAGCAAGGCGTATCTGAAACCTTGAAGGGACTCACTTCCCTTCTGAGATTCGAACTCGCGTCACTCAGTGCTGCAGTCAGAGACGTTACCACTGAGTTATTCAGTCTCGCAATTAACCACCTGTAGGATTGTATTGGATATTTTTGATTGGATACTAGTCGGTCCTACAGGAGGTCAGTTGTGAGCCTGAATAGCTCAGTGGTAACATGTCTGACTGCTGCACTGGTTGACGCGGGTTCGAATCTCAGAAGGAACATGAGTTCCTTCGAGGTTGCAGATACGTCCAAGGCTTCCTTTCGATTCCCTCTGACCACCTAATATCGACAGTGCAGTATTACATGAGAATCAAGATTGGTTGTTTCAGACGTGTGGATTACCTAAACATTCTAAAAGGAAGAATCTCTATGGTAGCTACGGGGAATTCATCTAACCATTTTAAGATCTCAGGTACTAGAGCCTGTTGTCTCCAGATATTCAAACTCGTGTATAAGACTGTTTCCCTGAGTCAAATACTCACCGTGTTACCGCACTTGAACGTGTCACTTCTGCTGCGGCAACCGAGTTATGTGAGGAAAGCGTATCGTGCCGATCAAGATACTTGCAACTGTATGTTACTGCGTCATTTAACTGCAGCTAATGGTGGCTGTTAGATGTGCTCACGGTCTCCATTAATACTTAAATTCGTTTCTGAACTGGTAGACATGATGCTGATTGATTTCGGAGATTGACTTGTTGGGAGAAAAAGTCTTACCGATTCAGACCATGTCAGTAATACAATTCTTTTAGGTGTAACTCGCGATGCATTCCTGCGAACTATGAGTACTCTTGGCATAACGTTAGCACCTGTCAAATAAGGGGAAGTCAGTCGACGAGTTTGTGTCATTCTGCCAGATGAGTTGGTCAAGACGTCTTACACATCATCAGCAGCCTTTCTTACGAGTTAGCTGAATGGTTGGGAAATATGGATGGTCAAAGCAAAACGTAACTGATCATCGGTCCGCTAGGTGTAAAATGTCAGATTTTGATTCTCATGATTTTAAAGATCTGTGAACGTGTCTGCTTGAGTTCGACGTCGTTGCCATCCAGAGACAGTTGCAGACCAGAAGTTCCACTGACGCCTGATTCTTACTTTTTCGTGGAAAAATTGGCCACTCAGAAAAATTATTTCTCATTGTTTCAAATACGACCAGTCACTCAGTCCGCAGATATAGCGCGAAAATACCAGTGTTTCTTCTCAAAGTCTTACTCGTCGATAAGAATACAGCCGCAAATTCATTACATTACCTTTACCTTTAAACGTTCACATTATTTATACCATTAAACTTGTCTCCTAATCAGTCAAACTGCTTAGATTTTATAGGCTCAGTGCTGCGGTGGAGGCCAAATGTACTACAGTGCTGGGAATCGTAGCCTAACCCCAGATATATCTACACATCAAGAGTGTATAATTTCGATAATTTAGGTTTCGGAGACTAACTTTGAAAGAAACTAAGAAAGCTATGTAGTAAGGCAAATCAGCCTAGTGATGCCCACAGCAGTTATATCCTCAGACTTTTGAGTGGCCGTGAACTAGATTTATTACTCAAACGTCCGTGTTTTGTAACGAATAATTCAGATATCCGTAATAGATCTATGTTTGATCTATAGCTATCTTGTGAGCACTAACGACACTACTTATTCGCCTTTGGTTAAGTGGATTCCGGATTCCTATGTTAAAAGTCAAGTACTTAAGTCTTATGACCACATCTGCATTAGTGAGTGAGGAATATAGCAAGACCTACCATTCTGACGTTTGTTATTTCATGCTAATGGTATTGGTACTCTGTATGCTAACAGTGTCATCGCATATGAACATTTAGTAGTCTTCTGCAAGCGTGATTTTGCTTTCAGAATTAACTGAAGGTATAACAATTCTCCTCAGTTTTTCAGTTATCATTCTTCATAGTTTACAAATTTTGCTTCATCGACTATTCTGTTTTACTTCCAATTTCCGTACTTTTAGGCGTTCGATCCTGAGAACAAGCCAACCTTCAGTGCACACCCTGCCCGTTTTACTCCGGAAGATCGATATTCGAGACATCGGATTACGCTCAAACTGAGGTTTGGCATGCTACCCAACCAACTTCCTCCAATTGAGTACTAAATAAAAAAATAAAAATTGTATTTATATACATGATTTCCTTATTATCGTTTCTGAATTTAGCTTGAATTAGAAGAGGGAACAATAGGGATATCGAACAGATCACATACACCTTCTATTTCGTCCAAATTGAAATTGAAATCGCATTCACTGGGCGGTGGACTCAATGGCAGCAGTGGACTCACAAATGCTTTCTCTTCTGAAATTGTAAAAATACCGCAGTTATAACTTATGTAATGTATGCACTTTAAGCACTGCAATAATCATAATAATGCAGTAATAAGTATTAGGTTAATTGCCAATTTCAGCAAGTGAGACTTACCATTAACTCTAGCAAGTGGACGACGAGCCTTAGCAATGGAATCCGCGGCTGCTGGAACCGGTAGTACACGGGCTTTGTCGCTACCCTCTTCTTGATTCACCAACAGCACGTGGATAGGTGTTGTGAAACTTTTGACGTGAACCTGATAATAAAATTAAGTGGTAGTTAGTATTCATCATTAGGAACCAAACGAATACTAAGAAATTACGCGATGAAAATTAAGAGCGGGGTCATTACTTTAGACATTTGGTTTCTATCTGGTATTTTCACAAATTATTACCCAGACTTGTCCAAAATATCACATTATATCATTGTGAACCTTGATATATGCTTTATGCACCTTACGGCATCACTTCACATACGAACTAGTAACGATCCACTAGGACTAATATATAAAAACTACATCTAATGACCAACCAGTTTTGGCAAGTTTAACCAATACACTACAGGGACTCTTACAACTAACTGTCATCTAGATCTTGAAAAGTGTAAACAGATGCGTATAATATATGTTTAAAAGAATAATACTTCCGTAATTCATCATCAAAGATATAGTTTCTAGAAGATCGCAAAGAAAACATTACTAGAATTTCAATGTTAATGCCATTCGGTAAGAAAACGCACCGAATCACACTTCAGGAAAGGAACTGACGAATGGCGAGACATGGGTAATGTAGAGATATTAAATGATGAATGTTGCTCAGATGTGCTTCTTACTAAGCTTGAAATCACTTGGAAACATGAATGCGTAAGGAATATTCTTTAAGTAGTAACCATAGAATGGTACTTTGTGTATCACAAAATTTATCTCCTTTTATAATGACAGTAGAATAATAAAGTCACTAAGATAGAGGAAGAGTATGTGTCAATAATGCTGGTAATAAGTTGCTTTTCACTTACAGATTATCAGCTAAGCTTGCAAGCTTTTTTATATCATTTCTCATACAACGCCCCCTGCTAAGTACAGTGCCGTTGTTTTTATATTTAGCTGTACGAGGAATTCTCATGAAATTTCTTCTGGTTTTACCCGAAAAGATACCATGAGAAAGTTGAGAATATGGAGGGTGTTTACTATCCGAAAAGATGACTTAGTTCAGTCGCTTGCGAGGATTGAAACGCCTATCAATAATGTCAGTTATTTGGGTCAAAGCCACACCACTAACCCTAGTTACAGCCTTCAAAGTCCTACGTGAAATAACAGTCATAAGGGGGGACAATAGAGAATGATGGGTAGGATACATGAATTGATATGTTGTAGGAGAAGAGGTTGAGTTATTCTAGACAATCACAACCTCTTTGTGTAGTACTTAAAACGAAAGATTTAAAAAAATCAAGACAATCAACAAAGAGCGAACGGCAGAAAGATAGCAAGTTAGGTACTGTTTATTTCCTACCACAGTAACATCGATATCACAGGAATCATGCAACTGAATCAGTCCACGCATGTCTTGTTCCCGCCTGCAACTAAAATTAAGTAGGGCGAAAGGAAAGGAAACACAAATGAAGGAAGCACAACACCTTGAGGAACATCATCTTGGCAAGCAAAGCAGTGGACGCCTTCCGTTTAAGTGTTGTTTCCTATCCGGAAAATAGGAAGACAACCACCTTGTGACTAAATACTCAGTGCGTGCTGAAGTCAGACTGCTTAGCGAAACTGTTCTATGAACAGAATCAAAAGCAGTAGTGTATATATTTATTCTTTGGAGTTGACTTGACCAGAGTTCATTCTTCCAAAACTAGCTTTATCATGTGATTTACACAAGTTCTCTTCACTTTTTTAGTTGCCGAGAAGAGACCCTCTCGAGTCTCGTGAAGTTAAGAGTTTTCATTTGTTAGATCACCCCTTTTCTGAAATCTTAGTTCCTTTTATAGTGGTTGAAATGGTTAGCTACTTATTTTTCCCTTATCAATTTTATCTCGACGAGCTGTTGTGAAATATGTACATACACAACAGCTTAAGGTTATTTTACTCATACGTACGTCTAACGTAGTACTATAATGATAGGCAACACTAGGCAACTCTTTAGACTCATCAGGGAAACGGGTGGGAGAAGGCAAATCATAAGTGAGACTATTTCTGAGAAAAATGGCTCCTTAATTAGCTCTCAGGATAGACGCCTTGAACGCTGGAAAGAACACTTTGAGGGACAATTTAACTTGCCTACAGCCACACTGAACCTCCCCGACATCCAGAACACACCCGAATGGGATATAGACACTGGTCCGCCGTCTGTAAGCGAGGTTACAAAAGCTATCAGTAATTTGAAACGAAGCAAAGCGGCAGGACCCGACGGAATTATTCCGGAGGTGTTTAAATATGGGGGTGACATACTAGTTTGTAGATTAACTGAGGTACTAGGCAAAGTCTGGGAATCAGAGACAGTGCCATCAGACTGGGGTAAGTCACTTATTATACCGATATTCAAGAAGGGAAACAAGTCCTCGTGTGATAATCATAGGGGGATCAGCCTGACGAACATAGTCTCTAAAATCCTAGGCTCAGTAATCATGCATAGACTAAGCAGAACTCGGGAGGAACAGACAAGGGAAAATCAAGCAGGCTTTAGGCCAGGTAGAGGGTGCATAGATCATATCTCCACTCTTCGACAGATTCTAGGACATAGACACACTTTTCGGCGTCCAACAATTGTCATATTTCTTGACTTGAAGGCGGCCTTCGACTCCGTGGATCGAAAGGTACTATGGCAATGTCTGACTGTGAAGGGAGTGCCAAGAAAATACATTGCACTAATCAAGGCACTCTATTCAAACTCACGTAGTCGTGTAAGGGCTTATGGGGAATTGTCATCTGAATTGGCAACAACCAGTGGTGTCCGACAGGGATGTCCACTTTCCCCATTTCTGTTTAACTTCATCATAGATATGCTGATGGAAGTATCCTTAACTGAACGTAATGACTTAGGAATCGACTTGTTACCAGGGAATAGTCTTGTGAACTTAGAATATGCAGATGACATAGTCCTGTTAGGGGAGGATGCTGAAAAAATGCAGAGTCTTCTGAACACCTTGAGCAGCAATCTTCGTATGTTTGGCATGCGATTCGCCCCTACAAAATGTAAGATGCTGCTACAGGACTGGACCACGTCAACCCCTAACTTAGTGATAGGGAGTGAAGTGATAGAACATGTTGACCACTTCACCTATTTGGGAAGTTGTATTAGCACCAACGGACTGATTGGCGATGAAATCTCAGCACGGATCCGAAAAGCTCGAGCTGCTTTCGCTGACTTACACCATCTCTGGCGTAGGCGTGACATCCGGTTATCAACCAAGGGACGTGTGTACTGCTCATCAGTTCGCTCCGTCCTTCTCTATGGCTCTGAAACATGGCCAATACGTGTTGAAGACATGAAAAGGTTGACTGCTTTCGATCATAGATGTCTGCGATCTCTGTCTCACGTTAGGTGGTTTCACAAGGTAAGTAATGTTGACGTTAGGCGTAGAGTGTTGGGCAAAGAGGGAAAATCAATCGACGAGGTTATAAAGTTACATAGACTAAGATGGCTAGGTCACGTGCTGCGCATGCCTAACCACCGCCTCCCCCGACGGGCATTGCTAGCTGATATAGGTGAAGGTTGGAAAAGAGACAGTGGTGGCCAAACAAAAACATGGCCTCATCAATCCATGAAATCCTTGACAGTTAAACTGAGTCAGGTAGGGAGATGAAGACTCCCGGGTTGGGGCCCTCGGGACTGACTCTAGGAATCAATAATTCCATTATAGATAAGATTTTATTTTGATAAATCGCACAGTGTTTACAGTTATATGAACTAATCAGTTCATATAACTGTAAACACTGTGCGATTTATGAAAATAAAATTTTATCTATAATGGAATTATACTCTACCACAGTGCCCAAGTTTTATACTTATATCTAGGAATCAATGGCTGGAGACAATAGGTGACATGGCTCAAAATCGTTGTCAATGGCCAGCGCAGATGTATTCAGTCTCTGTAATCTTTCATATTCCTTTCTACCATTACCCATTCTGTTTCACTCTTATACTTGTCAGACTGTATTGATTCTCTTCACTCATCTTCTTGTCTACCTCTGTGTGCTATTTGGAAGGTGGCAACTCGAACTGCTGCACTTCGGTGCCAAGTTCTATGTTGAATCCAGACAGACAGACAGTACTATAATGATGTTGAGTCAATTAATTTTACAATTTCAAACGTATATCTAATGACTATTTCCATTGTCACAGTTCGATTATAATTTAGATTTGGACAAACCACTGCTGTTTGTACTGCTTTGTTCGACGGAATATACACATTAGATCATAGGAAATATTACAGCTATGGTCACACTGAAGTTCTCTTCTCGACTCAGTCATCAACTAGACTATACATTCATGTATTTCTGGTAAATGAGTGGGAAATTTTCAGAACTATTTCTGGTCAAGAGGTCAAATTAATAAAATTGCAAATAAGGATTAAAATCTAGAAATTAATAAGAAGACTGAGTAAGAAGGGTATTAGGGTAATCACTTTTGAGAGAAGTAACTTTATGATGGACATAGTAGACACAACGGTCGGAGGTATTTCTTCTGAATACGTAGCTTGGGCTTGAACTTTTGGACCACTAGCTTCTTACATATGCCCAGATGCCTTGATGTAATTAAAAGAAATACGTCCAACCATTGTTTTTACTATGGTCATCATAAAAAGTCACCTCCCTCAATAGTGATTACCCTATTACCTTATCCAGTGTTCCGGTTTATTTCTATTATTTTTACGTTTTTACTTTTTATCTGTACCACTGTTTTCTATCCAAACTTCCTGACTACTTCGTTATCATGACATTTTTCTCCCTAATTGTAGAAAAAGTCAGTTCCCACAATAACTATGATCCTACTATGTTTTTATCCGGACCTGATGTCTATTTCAATTAGCATTAAAATCAGTTTATAAATTGTAAGTTTAACACTTGTGTCCCAATTTATGGTGGCTGGAGAGACTGCTCATCACGACAAGGTGAGTCATGCTAAGGAGACTTTGAACGGTAGGACGACTCGTTGGTTTAAACACTTGAATTGCAGATAGTGGATACCGGATACCAATCCTAATTCAGCCTGATCAACTGGGCAGTATTACTATCCATCAAATAATTAATATGGCTTATAGTCTGGTATTCGAGTAATCTGTTACGCGTAACTGAGTTCTAATTGTTATGGCTGACATACCTTTTCTTAACTTTATCAATTAGCATAATTAGAAAATAAAACAGCTTGATACATTGTCATTAATGAGATTAATAGTAATCAGGACAAGCGTCCTGAAACACTTAAAATGAAATATACTTACTTTGTACGAACGTTTCAGTGAGAATATAGTTTGAACAGGTTGTTCCATAGGGTTTTCGGGCACAGGTGCTTCCAATCTAGTACCTGGCGGTGCACGTATAACTAACATTGTACGATCTTGGAAGATGTTGATCAGATCTTGATGAGTTACAAAGGAGTACTGAATATTATCTAAATCTTCCTGAACATTTTTCAAAGACTGGAGAACTTTGCCTCTGTGTTCATCTACTTTCTTCTCTAGATTTTCCAGGTATTCAACTTCAGCCTGTAGTTCATCTAAGCGAGCTTGAATATCAGGTCCATTTGTAGCTGCACTTCCTCCTCTGTTTTTCAAAGAAATTCATCAAAATGGAAAATTGAATGGCTAAGTAAAATTGTAATGCCTTAGTGCAGTCACTCATAATAATCAAGAATCACACGCTATAGTCGGTGAATTTGAGACTACAAGATGGTAGTGCATCGCCTTACACTTGAGGTATAACATACATAGAGATGCGAAGGCATCATATTAGTCCCAGTATAGTAAAAATAAATGGCAACCTGGGAAGCAGATTCCGCCTCAAATGAGAAACGAAAGACTTCGCAGTGTATCAGTCGAAAACGTTACATACAAAGAGCATACAATGAAATGTGGTGATACTACTGCGGAAAAAGTTAAGCAGATATTCTGAAGAATAGTAAGAGTGATTAAGACTTCCATTATGAGTGAATACATTTTGATATAGTTAACTTTGTAACCTGTAAATTTCCAGATATATACGAAACTATAAATAATCCACGAGTCTACTGGCCCTTTGTCCAAGCTGATTAAGAAGACTTTAAACTTCTGTACTAGATACTAAATATGGTACTTACCCGCAGATTCGAGATCTGCAGATCATGAAAAATTGGTGACCCGACATTCAGGATCCTGGTCGATGTGTTACACGCATGAACTCTGCTGTACTTTGCAGATTAAAACCCTACCTACTCATGTTCTTGGCAAAGTGTAGAAGTCTTCACACCAATTCACAATGCGACATGAAAGTTATAACGTGACTGAGAGAAAAATATCTCCTGATATTAGTAACTATGACCATATTAAACTTAAGACATATTACCGCTAAAGGTTTAGGCCTTACTACGGTACAGGTGTATATAATGGTATGTGCTACTAAAGAAATAACTTACTTCCATTGGATACTGTTTTTGGTCCTCTTCTCAATTAAACCAATGCCCTCCAAAACATTTGTAATATCATAAATTCTCCTTTTTTGTCTGACAGCCAATAAATCTGCCGCCTGACAAGAATAGGATGAAAACAGGATTAGCATACCATTTTGAGATCCAATATTCCATCAGGTGCCTCTTTCAGAAGCTGCACAAATTTTTCTGTCAAAAGACCTAGGCTCTTCTCGTGACGATTAAGCTCCCGTAGAGTTTGTTGATCGATCGGAAATTCGTTAAACATAAGGCCTTGGTTTTGATACATATTCGCATAAAACCCTAAGCTTGACCTTGAGTATATAAAAGCACCATTACCCTCAATATTCAATTCAACTCAGTTAAACACAGTTGTTTAAATTTTACTATTAAAGAATCAAGGAATTTAACTAAGCAAAAGATGATTTACAGCAGAAGGACAGCCTAGAGATATCTGAACAGTTCCAATACACTGACTTACACACAACCACAGGATAATGGTGGCAGCGCCGCAGTTCTTAGAAGTATTATAGATAGATGGAAGGAGAGTCTGACTATTGAATCTTTGTTCACCTAATCTATTGCTAACATTTGCGGAAGTGATGAAGTCAAACCGATAACAAATTTGTGAAGAAATTACCTATGTAGTACACCTTAGAACTTTCTAAACTTTCTACTTCGATGTGTATATATAAACACTGTTCGGGGCGCCATTTCGCGCTTTTCTGTCATATCGTCAACACGCGCATGCTTTCACTTATTGTTACAGCTATTTTCGTTTTTTAAGTTCTTGATCTCCTTCCGTGAATATACCTGACGCTTTATTTTACTGAAGTATAGTGCTCATTAGAAAAGGTTTCCAGCAGGGAATGTGATGATATGTTCAGCAAAGTTTTTAATGTTACAGCCAATCTTTCCTTCAGTTATAAATTTATTGGAGGTGGTTTCAGCTTGCCGGAAGCATCATGGACTTCACTACTAGGCCCTCGAAAGGATGATAATCTCTTGTATTCCGTACACAAATAAACTCACACACTAGATCCTAAAATATCATACACATTTGTAAATGTCCAGGTCTTATTACACTGGACCTCACGCTGTTCCTGGTAGACTTTCAGAAACAATGTGTCATAACCAACGCGAAAAACCAGAACACAGATTGGCGACTAGAGAATCCTTTGTTCTTATGTCAATATGTAACCAACAACAAGGTTATTAAACACAAGGTCTAAGAATAAATGTTATAACAATAAATCACGATAATACTTTTGATAGTTTTCTGTCTTCCCCTGAACAGCGAACGATGACTCCCGCGAAAAATATGGAGGAGTTGGGTTTGAGCAAACAACCATGAATTGATCGTTCAATCTTCAACTACATTGACAATAGATATATAAATGGCTTCATGTCCCTTTCGACTTCTGTCAATCACGTCTCATAAACCGTTAATGCCCAGCTCTCGCTACGCTCGGGCCCACGCTGTTCTTCGAAGATTTCTCAGAAACGCTTAGTTATAACGGACGCAAAAACCAAAACACTGATCTGCCGCTTTAGATTTGTTTATTGTTACACCAACATATAAAAGGAATAAGCGAACTAAGGTCTGTAAACAAATATTACAATAATAAATCGTTATATTACTTCTGACGATATTTTACTCTTCTTTCTGAACAGCGACCGATGAGACGATGACTGTCGTATTGATGCCTCCGCGAAAATCGGGGAAGTTGATTTTGAGCAAACAACCAAGAATTGATCGTTCAATCTTCAACTACATTGACAACTTCAGTCTTTTTGTAGATCTGTGCAGCTTCCACTGCAAGGCAAATGGAGGAGAAGAGACAAGCAGCAAATTACGAGAAAAAAGCATGTGGACGCAAATAGAACTTTGATGTCTGTTTATATGCAAGCTTGTGCTCTTTGTACATTGCCGTCTGGTGAACATACTCACTGATATTCTTTTAGTCTTTTTATATACCTTTGCGACTAGTGTCTTTATCGTTTATGCAGGGTAATTAGCAGAGTTTCACGGATTCCTGGGATACTATGAGGATACAATAATTGGTTCGTTCTAGAAATAAAAAATCTTGTAAATGTAATCAGTTGAATAAAACAGTCTACATAGAGAGCATCCGAAGCTTACAACTGAGGTGCAGGTTCTGAGTTCCAGGGGTAAACTTTTCAACATTTGAGAATACAAGACTGTCAATTTTTTACGGAGTAATGATTTAAAGGCCTTTATTGTCGCTATGCATGTTTGGTTATGCAGAACACAACAGCCTTACGGTGAGGATTGTGTGTGATTGATACATTGCTACATTACAGAAGATTACTAGGTTCATAATAAGTCATTCTCGACTTTCAAGTCTGTTATGTGACATAAACCGGAAGTGTTAGGTTACTAGAGTGCTTGAATCCTAAGTAAACGACATTTCGAAGTCTAGGTTGATTGGTAAATTGAGGCATTAATATTATTCTAATTGAGGTTGTGTCAAGGCTGGTGCGATCGCATTTGCTCACGTTGAAATGTAGGTTCCATAGAGGTGATCACACAGGCATTTTATTTAATTCATTCAACACGACATTCTGAAAATACCTTACATCATCAAATCGGAATATAATCTAAAGCGACCTGAAAAAAACGGTTTATAGGCTGACGGTATTGACGTTCGCGAATTGTACAAAGTATACTAACGCAAAATCTTATACCAACAACTTCCGTAGTATTCATTTGTTGCGGACCAAAAGACAAAGCAAAATACACGATTGATCGTCCGAATTACGAGAAATATTTCGGAACCAAATCGTGGACTGAAGCAGAAGCTAAGCTGGCCAGTTATCGCGCACGAAAGTGACACGACGGAGTACCAAATGGTGAGGATGCTTGACCAGAAGCCTGCAGCTAAACAAGTCGACAAAACACTAAGTATCAGCATCCAGTGTTCACTGATGATTTCTATGGTCAATAATTTTGAGGAATAATTTACTGCTAAAACGGTTTACCATGTGAGAAGCGGGTGCATATATCGTTTATATATACTGTGAATAGAAAGGCCCTATTATGTCACATTAAATTACCCCAGAAGTGATTGGACTAAGCTTGGAAGTCTCAGACCCAAGTCGTTCTGTTTGTGACCTGTTACTGAGGAGTGGTGTGGACCATCATAATAGTGGGTAACATATTCCTATGTATTAGCAGTAGGTGGTTAACGCGGTAAAATACCTTAGGAATGTCGAAGTAATAATAATAATATATTCTCATTTTGTACATGAGGGACGTCAATTTACAGGCATCATCAATATGATATATTACATATACGATTGGTAAGCATATTTAAATATAATGATTTAATAAAAATACATATTTTTTCCTACCTGTGTAGGACACACCAATTGTACAGGCACAGAGAAGTATTTTTTAAATTGCATAAATTTGGTTTATAGTCAAATCACATGGTTGCTGTCGTTTTTGTCTTTGATATAAGAATGAAACTTGTGTACTCTCGTAGAGCGTAATTCCATTATGGGTAAATTTTGTTTTGATAAAGTATGACAGTGTTATACAGTAATGTTTACTGATGAAGTTTCGAGCACAATTTATTGCTCATAATCACATCAAGGTAATCACACGACTTCCTAAATTCATTGATATAGTTCCATTGTTTTTCATTTGATTTGATTGGTAGTAGTATTTCCCACATTTCGGGTATGAGTGACGAATCATTTCTATTGCATGTGTTTGGTGTAGGCTCGATGAACAAGGATTAAGTATGTAGAATGTATGGTACTATTAAAATACATATGTTGCGTGCGTTATTTGACTAAACTTGCGTACATGTATATTCTAGTACTTCTTCACTGTTATTAATGTGTGCAGACGTTGTGGCTACTTGACACCCAAAACGTAAATCCAAAAGGCACTTGCGATGAGTACGATCGTGTATTATAGCAGTAGTCAAATTTCGAAATTGTGTCAAGGTAATGTTCAGCAGTAAATTCACAAATGTTTGCGAAGTACATGTAAAATCGGTCTGTGTACATATATAATACAAGTATACAAATTAGATTAAAAAGCATGTTTACAGTTGGTATAGGGGTACCACATAATTCCCCCACCAGAACACTGAAATATAAAAAAATACATTTAAGTGTTCGAAAATAACATGCGTCAGCGTAATACGTAGCAGCGATGGTACACAGAAGGCGATTTATTAAGCTGAAAAATGAGCAGTTTGATGGGGTTAATACCATCGACAATAAATGCGATAATCTAGGGAAAGTAGGATTGCTAATCATAATGGAATATATCAAGAACGATCAAATTGGCGGAGGATCTGTAGTCGGTAGACCAAAACGATACGTGAATAATAAGCGAGATGTGATTAAATGTAATAATATCGGAAATATCGCTATTAAAATAATAGTGACGTGATTTATGTGTGAAAACATTAATCAATTAAATGAGTGGTCAAATGACAATTATGAACATAGATAATAAAAAGGAAAATTCGTAGTTAGTTATATTTTGATGACTTGCACGTAACGTTTAGGCCAATGGACTTGTCTACCAGGTCGTGTTGTTTTCGCAGGTTTCTCTGTCGACGTTGAAGCTTGTGTGGATGTAGATATTGGCACGTCGTTCAGCTGGTCCTTATTGCTGACTTCGAAATCGTCGAGGAACGCTGGTTTGACTCCGTTGATACTGATGGCCTCTGTTTTATTCAGTCGTGATAACTTTGGCATTTCTGTTTAGAAATTTGAATGGGCCATCATAAGCGGGTTGAGGTGGTCGTTGTACACCTTCTCTCCTGATGAAGACGTAAGTGCAATCTATCAGTTGTGACGGGATGTATGACACTCGTTCCTGCTGACGTGGAAGTGCTATTTTGAGCTCGTTCATGTGCTGTTTTAGCTGGTGCACGTAACCAGTCATATCGTGTGGAAATTGGTTACCCGGGGTGAAAAATTCTCCTGGTAATCGTAATATTGTTCCATAGACTAGTTCGGAAACACAGCAGCCAATATCTTTCTTTATAGCAGCTCGTATACCAAGTAATACTAGTGAAAGTTTGGTTGACCAATCGTTTTGAGTCAAAGAAGCAGCGAGTGCAGCTTTGAGTTGTCGATGAAATCGTCCGACCATACCGTTGGAACTAGGATGATACGCTGTCGTTCGTATTCGTTTAATGCCTTGTAATTCAGTTAGTTGGTCAAAAAGTTGGCTTTCAAACTGGCCACCTCTGTCTGTAGTGATAATTGATGGGACACCAAAGTTGGCTATCCAGTTTGCGACTAAGGCTTTAGCTACCGTTTCAGCTGAG